CATGCACAGGCAGGGCAGCGGCAGCCCCAGAGACAAGAAGCCCAGTGTATGATCATGCCACCCGCACACCTACGCACCCATGCCTCTCCCATCTCTGTTTGCCCTTCCAGCAGGAAGCTGGAGCTGGTTCTCTAGCCCAGTTTTTCTCAAATAGTGGTACGAGTACATTTAGGAGTACTCGAGAGAAGTCTGGAGGGTACGTCAACAACTGAAATTTGGAGAAAAATGATTTTTTTTTAAGTTTTACAGCGCTTTATTATTTTTGTACTTTTTACAGCCAAAAATTTCATCATCTGCCCAGCTATGATTAAGCTGTTTAAACAAGTGTGTTGCAATAGTTGAAAAAAATTGTGTCTCAGAAAACTGTAGGTACTGGGAATACTTATAATTTTTTTAAAGGGATGCTTTATTTCAAAAAAAAAAAAAAAAAAAAAAGGGGGAGAAACACTGCTCTAGCCTGCAGCTGCTTGGCAAATGCAAAGCTCCAGCTCCTGCCTAGGGGGGAGGCGGGGTGTTGAGCCACACATGCCACTCAAAATAAGTGACATGTGTGCCGTAGGTTGCTGACCCCTGGTCTAGGGCATCAGAAGAGTTCTCTCCCAGCCCTCTTGTCACAACCACGCTGCCGAGTTAAAGTGCTGCTGTAAACAAAACCTGAAAGAATAAATGCATGAAAGCAACTTCTTAAAGTAATCCAATCACAACAAACCACAGAGCTATTTTTTTTCACCTGGCATTGTGGGTGCACCACTCAGAAGGTCACTAGAACAGAAAGACTGAAGTGTTTATTCAGTTTGTTCACTGTGGGCTTGCCAGCGATTCAGAGCCTGATCCTGCACTTGTTAAACTTCATCTGCACTTTAAAAATACTCCACCTTCTCAGAACACTACAAAGAGCACAGATTATTAACACGTCTCTACAAAAGCATCTTAAGTGCTTTACAATAAAAAAAAGTCCAAATCAGACCCTGAATTGAATTCTGATAATGTACAATCCCTCAGCCCTTTGTACCTCTCTGCTCTGGATCTTTATCCCTCTCATCAAACTACCTCTTAGCCCAGGCTTTCTAACATTTCCCACCAGATGTCCACCAGCAGTAAACTGAAACACACCTTGGCCAAGTGCAAGCACTTCTGTGCCAGCTGATAGATGACAAATCTGTTGGCCTAGAACTGCAGAGAATTCACTGTTTTGGATTTGCTCTATAATTCTAACAGTGGAAAACAGAGAGGGCCCCACGATACTCCCTCCTTATCACATAATTATGAACAGGGCTCAACAATTAGGGCAATCTACTCGCCCGCAGCAAGTAGATTTTAGCCCAGTGCGGCCGCGCAGTGAGGTCAGCGCATGCGCAGCGTGCCAAGCCACACAGCTGGCGAGCTCACTGCCGCTTTTCATAATCAGGGCTTGACGTCTGAAATATACCAGGAATATCATCAACAGTCAGGTGGTAATTACCAGCTCTTCATCCCAGCCTAATAGTTGCCTCAACAAGAGAAGGGAAGATGAGCTTGAATTGACCTCAATCTGACATTAATGAGACAACGAAATTTCCCCAGCACCCCAATTCCCACGTAGCTGCATCCCCTCTTCAGTTGCCCAGAATGACAGCAATCCACTCAAAATCTTGGTACCCTACCCCCTGTGCTGCCTGCTCCCCCTCAGCATAGTCTGAGCCTGGGATAGAGTGCAGTCTCTCCCCGGCATCAGCAGCTGCAGCCCAGCTGGGGCTGTGATGCCCAAAACCAAGGCTATTAAGAGGCGTAACTGACTAATCATGTAGTTGATACTATTTGTATCAACTACACAATTAATCAATAAGGGAAGGTGCTCTGTCCCAGCTCGTGCCAGTCCAGGAGCTACCACCACCAGGGTTCTGCAGCTTAAATATAGTAGGACCCAGGTTCGCAGGAGCCACCCAGCTCCTACTACATTTAAACTGCAGAGCCACAGCGGGGGTAGGCCCCATAGCAGGATGAGTTGGGATCACTGCAGCTCTGCATTTTAAATATAGTAAGAGCCAAGTGGCTATTACTACATTTAAAATGCAGAGCCTCAGCTGTCCCAGACTGGCGCAAGCTGGGATTGACCTGGGCATGCTCAATCCCAGCTCACGCAGGGAGCTGGGCCTCCCCATGGACACGGGCTGCTGCCATGAAACAGCCTCTGTTCACAGTG